TTCAACTAGTCATTGCTAGCTCCTGTGTATTCCATTCATTTGAGCAGGTAAATCAAGAGTAGGTCTTAGGACACTTTATGGAACCCACACTGAGGGTCTTATTTGGAGAGAAGGGACTATAGGTAACCCTAGTCCTATTTTTGTCTCAGGTTAAAGTGATTTGTTTCCTGTTTCCTTTGCTTCTCTCTTTTTTTTTTTTTTAAGATTTTATTTATTTGAGAGAGAGAGCATGAGAGGGGGGAGGGTCAGAGGGAGAAGCAGACTCCCTGCCAAGCAGGGAGCCCGATGCGGGACTCGATTCCGGGACTCCAGGATCATGACCCGAGCCGAAGGCAGTCGATTAGCCAACTGAGCCACCCAGGCGCCCTCCTTTGCTTCTCTTAAGAGTAGTCAGTAGACCACCTGCAGTAGAATCACTAGGGATGATGCTTTTTTTTTTTTAAGAGATGCTTTTAGGTTGTTTTTTGTTTGTTTTTAATTTATTTTTTTTTTTGAGGGATGCTTTTAAAAAGTGCAGATGCCTGGTACTACCACCAGACCTAGTAAACAGAGTCTCTGGATGTGGAACCCAGGAATCTGCATTTTATCAATCTTTCCAGTTGATAATCCTTGGCACAGACGGAGAGGGCAGGAGAACGAGCCCTGATGTGAGGTTATCCATGCAGACAGTTCACTAGGACTATTTTATATATGGAGTCGGTCTGAGAGATGCCTGAGCTACCTCCTTACCTGAGTTTTCCTGTGCCCTAGCCTGTGTAGAGTAGATAAAACAACATCTACTCTTTTTAATGCTAAATTTTTATTTAAATGGTTGGAGTCCCGGGATCAAGTCTGCGTTCGGGCTCCCTGCTTGGTGGGGACTCTGCTCCTCCCTCGGCCCCTACCCGGCTCCTGCTTTCACTCTCTCTCTCTCAAATAAATAAATAAAATAAAAAATTAAAAAATTAAAAATGGCTGGCTTCACCAATTGTTGGTGAAGGTGTGGAGAAATCAGAATCCCCATACGTTGCTGGTAGGCAAGTAAGATGCTGCAGCCACTGTGGAAAACAGTTTGGCAGTTCCTCAATTAGACACAGTGACTATATGACCCACTCACAATTCCACTCTCATGGCTACACCCAAGAGAAATGAAAACATAATTGAAGTGGTAACTATTTCTCCATCATTATCTACATAAAGGTACCAGTTAGTCTCTTCATTATTTTTGTAAAGTCTCAGTTAGCAACACTGTCCACTACTTTCCTCACTTTAAGTTCTAGAAGACATTAGAACTCCCCCCCCCACACACACACACAGGAAATATCCCCTAAGTTAGCATTCTCTTTTGCTTTGGTCAATAAAACTGAAAACCCAAATTGTTGCCCTGCCATCCTATACTGCTTCATGCTGAAGTGTAGTATTTTGCAGGTTAATTTTGTAATAAAGGTAGGGAATCTTTAAATTAGCAGCCTGGGGCCAGAGTGAGGGACAAGTGGTGTTCTATACCTGGATATTACTTGAATATTCATCAACAAGCTTCCCCTAAGCTAAACATCTCTTGAGGAAAGTTTCTGGTCTTTCCATTCTCCTCGGGGCAGAGATCATACTTTATACTATTAGAAACTCAAATACTGAATTAAATAATTTTTTAACGTAGCTACCTACACATCTCACAAGACCATCATCCATGCAGACCTCAATGCTAGGTCACTCATGGAGCTGGCACAGTCCCAAGTCCATGAGAGCCCAGGGAGATCAGGCTGGCAAGGGGCCCTCCTTTCCACACCCCCACATCTACTCTTCCAGGCATCATTTAGACTTCATTTCTTAAAGATTTATGCACAAGTATCGGGTGCCTGGGTGGCTCAGTTGGTTAAGCGACTGCCTTCGGCTCAGGTCATGATCCCGGAGTCCTGGGATCGAGTCCCGCATCAGGCTCCCGGCTCAGCGGGGAGCCTGCTTCTCCCTCTGACCTTCTCCCCTCTCATGCTGTTTCTCTCTCTCTCTCTCTCTCTCAAATAAGTAAATAAAATCTTTAAAAAAAAAAAAAGATTTATGCACAAGTATCTATCCTGCTCTGTATTCCTCCTTCTCTCACCAGCCAGCCCCATGAGCTAAATGGTATTCTAAGAAGGATAGCTCAGGGGTGCCTGGGTGGCTCAGTCAGGTAAGTGTCTGCCTTCGGCTCAGGTCATGATCCCAGGGTGCTGGGATCGAGCCCCACATCGGGCTCCCTGCTCGGCGGGGAGCCTGCTTCTCCCTCTCCCTCTGCCCCCTGCTCATGCGCTCTCTCTCACTGTCTCAAATAAATAAATAAAAGGGATAGCTCAGATAGACCAAATTTCAGTTTTTTCTTTTTCACTTCATTAGCTTTTCAGTGTCTGTTAATGCCTTATCAAAGTGGATTTATTTCCCTAATCATGACCTGATATTATGTGCTTACACCTGGACTGGCAAGTTAAAGATACTTTATGTCACTGCCCCACAGACGGTGTCCCCATGCCTCTAAGTGCAAAACAGAAAAAGACATCCCATCCTCAAACACTTCACTTCCATCTGTGAAAGCATCACTAATTTTACATTACAGATGAGAAAGCTAAGGCTAAGGGATTAATGGCTAGTACACCATGTTCCTTTGATTTTTTTACCCAGAACTAACTGGAGTCCATGTTATTATTATTGCATGGAAAGAAAAAAATTATCTTTGAACACTCAAGCATGCCATGCCAGCTTTCATGCAGCCAAATGTTTAAAAACCCTCCATAGTTACTGTGTTTAGTCAGCTTTTTTTCCCCACAAAAATTCTTCTCCTTGGGAGAAAGTCTCTTAAACCGAAACTGCCGGTTTATGCAACAATAAAGCTGTAAGAAGCAAGAACACAATTTTGAGACATGTTGATGTTGACAACAGAATGGAATGCACGTAGGCACAGACTCAAGACACAAGGACAGATTAAACCACAAGTGCACATAGCTCGTGGCAAAAAAATGAGGGCTAGTGGTGTTCTTCTGGAAGCTAAGAGTAGTCTTTATAGTCTATCTGGCTTATAAAGAATAGCTTTGAGAATCGTCTCATTTTCTTAAGCAATTCAGTTGGCACTACAACGATGGGGAAACTGAAGTTTGTTCAGGATTAAGTAAGTATGTATAGGCTAGGGTATGTAATTTTCCAACCAATTAAAATAAAGCACAAGATACGAGCCTTGCAGTTTTGAGGCAGAGGGGCAAGGTCATGTTCAACTTGGATTCAGAAATTTAAAAAAAATTTTTTTAAGGAATGAAGTTTTTAAGAGGCAGTTGATCTAGAAAACGCCAGTTACTGGGAACAGACAGGCGTGTGAATAGATAGGTTCCATCCTAGAAGCCCACGAATAGTGACAGTCCACCTTCCCAGAAACCAGATGCCCCCTGGCTTCAAGCATCTCAGTCCCTCCTAATTCATCTGTTTGCTGATTCCTGGAGTTAAAGGGGAAAAATTTAGTTCTGTCACTTCATAAGCTTTGACAGGTCTCACATCAACGGTGTAGTTCTATGCTGCTTGTTTTCTTGGGGAGAAAGGGGGAAGCTGGGTAGAAAGGGGGGGGACAGATCTTAGACTTCAGTTCTGCCGTAGGGCAGCCTTGCTAACCTTAATTTAGCAGGAACGGGCAGAAGCATGCAGCTCTACTTTACAAGTTCTAAGTTGTTTTTCGAACAGTTCGGCACACTGCAGTTTTGTCATAAGATTTGTGGAAGTTCCTCCCGAGTTGACCAACATTGAGGGGCTGAAGGCTGAACTCACCCTAGGGAGGAAGTTAAGAAGCTTTTCCTACAGAGGGTCCAAAGTCTATTTCTAATTACTCTCACCTGGTCTTCTAAAGGTATCTCACCAACTAGTGTGACTTTCTCCCAAAGTGACAACACAGCAAGTCAAGTCCAGCTGAGAATGGACACTGGCTAGTCGCAGTTCAGGGCTCACACTTTCAACAGCCCTTTAGCAAGAAAGGCCTGTCGCCTTTACAGGAAACTGATGTTAGGAGTTCTATCATGTATCACTGGCTTCCTTCCAGTTTTGATTCCCATTCAGCAAGGCAGTCAGCCATGAGCAGCCTTCTACTGGCTTAAAACCCCCTCTCAAGAGGTTGAGTAAATGGTGGGGTGCCTGGGTGGCTCAGTTGTTAAGTGTCTGCCTTCAGCTCAGGTCATGATCCCGGGGTCCTGGGATTGAGCCCCGCATCAGGCTCCCTGCTCCGTGGGAAGCCTGCTTCTCCCTCTCCCACTGCCCCTGCTTGTGTTCCCTCTCTCTGGCTGTCTTTCTCTCTGTCAAATAAATAAAATCTTAAAAAAAAAAAAAGAGGTTGAGTAAATGGAGAGATAAAAAGGGCACCTGGGTGGCTCGGTTAGTTAAGCATCTGCCTTCAGCTCAGGTCATGATCCCAGGGTCCTGGGATGGAGCCCCACACTGGGCTCCCTGCTCAGCAGGGAGTCTGCTTCTCCCTCTGACCCTCACCCCACTCGTGCTCTCTCAAATAAATAGAATCTTTTTTTTTTTAAATAGTGTATGCTTTTAAGTTTTCTCTCTTTTTTTTTTTAAGATTTTATTTATTTATTTGACAGAGGCACAGCGAGAGAGGGAACACAAGCAGGGGGAGTGGGAGAGGGAGAAGCAGGGCTTCCCGCCGATCAGGGAGCCCGATGCGGGGCTCGATCCCAGGACCCCGGGATCATGACCTGAGCCGAAGGCAGACGCCCAACGACTGAGCCACCCAGGCACCCTAAATAGAATCTTTTTTAAAAATTAAAAAAAAATAAATGGGGAGATAAAGGCAGTAACTGCCACCTCGTAAAAATTCCTGTATGCACATTAGCTTTATGAAAACGTGTTATCAAACACTCCATTCTTAGCACTAGCCTTCCAATGCTATTGCTCTGCCAAATCACCCAGAGGGCCAGTTGGAATTCACGTTATGTGTATTAATAACCCTGTCATGCAAGCCAAGCAGCTCTATGAAAGCAACACAAAAGCACATGGAACACACAGCATAAAGTTGATCTATCCTGCAGTGAATTTTATTGAATTCATAGGACGCACTCCTTCATGAAAAAAAAAAGTTGTACAGGCATGCTCTGTGCAACCAACCAGTGACAGGACCAGATGGGAGCAGACACCAGCCCACACCACAGCCCACAGGAAATTGTTTTTTATTCAAGACAAACGAACAGCAACAATGGTAACAATGGATGACACCATAAATGCAGGGAAACTTACTGGGAGTCCTGGCCAGGCTCTGACCAACCTAGCATTCTTTTCTTACCAGCCAGGAAAACAGCAGAACTCATCTGCTAATGCCAAACATCGTAAAGCTCTTAATCCAGTTAGAACTGACCACAACTGAGGACCTTTTCTCTAGCTAGCTGCTTCCCCAATTCAGAGTTGTCTAGCAAGTTAATTTCAACATCACAGAGAGTCTCCTCCTGCTGGCCACACCCCGTACTGGTGACAAGGACAGCTCTAATGGGTTCTGTTCTCAGGCTGCTGGGCCTCCAGACTACTTGTGTCCTTCTGTGCACCTTGGTCCTGAGCATTCTGAGATTCAGTCAGCTGTGGGTAAAAGGGACCTACCAGCCAGTTGAGAGGCGTGTTGTTAACAAGATAATCCATCACATCATCTAAAGATTCCTTCATTTTCTGCAGCTGCCCCTTGCTGGAAGTGAGGAGGCCGTCGGACACTTCCTTGAAGGAGGCAGCATTGCGGAACACGGAGTAGATGTCACCAGCCATCACCCCCAGGTGACTGGCCTGATCTTGGATGTTCTGTGGTAACCCCTGGACATCGGACAGCAGGCTGTGGCACCTGGTCTGGAGCTGCTGAGTCAGGCTGCGTGCAATAGCAAGAGTACGTGACTCAATGTGCTAAAAACAGAACGAGTTGAAAAATTAGCCATGGATCCAACAGTGCTATTTAACAAATCAGTTCAATTACAGTAAACCGGTTATGTGTCTAACACGTATGTGGATTCTTTGACTTTTAAAAATCCTCTTGTGGGGGTGCCTGGGTGGCTCAGTCATTGGGCATCTGCCTTCGGCTCAGGTCATGATCCCAGAGTCCTGGGATCAAGCCCCACATCGGGCTCCCTGCTCGGCAGGAAGCCTGCTTCTCCCTCTCCCACTCCCCCTGCTTGTGTTCCCTCTCTCTGTGTGTCTCCCTCTCTCTGTCAAATAAATAAATAAATGAAATCTTTAAAAAAAAATTTTTTTAATAAAAAAATAAATAAAAATCCTTTTGGGGCACCTGGGTGGCTCAGTCGTTGGGCATCTGCCTTCGGCTCAGGTCATGATCCCAGGGTCCCGGGATTGAGCTCACATCGGGCTCCCCGCTCTGCAGGCAGCCTGCTTCTCCCTCTCCCACTCCCCCTGCTTGTGTTCCCTCTCTCACTGTGTCTCTCTGTCAAATAAATAAATAAAATCTAAAAAAAAAAAAAAATCCTCTTAAGAACCCTAAGGAGAGCAGTATTACGCACTTCTCAGGGATATGCATACTAGCTGTTGGAACCCGAAGAACCACCTCCTAAGACCACAGCATGCTACTGTTCTGTCTGGAACGTTAGTGCCCTTTCACCTAGTTTATTCACCCCGTAGATCTCAGCTTAGCACGGAGCTCTCCCAGGACATCATCTGACTCACCCATCCTTACTCTAAGGCTGAGTTGGGTTCCTTTCCTATGTATTCTCATGGCAAGTGTATTGATGCTGTCAAAAAGCAGTACAGGGGGGGCGCCTGGGTGGCTCAGTCGGTTAAGCGACTGCCTTCGGCTCAGGTCATGATCCCGGAGTCCCGGGATCGAGTCCCGCATCGGGCTCCCTGCTCGGCAGGGAGTCTGCTTCTCCCTCGGACCCTCTTCCCTCTCGTGCTGTCTATCTCTCATTCTCTCTCTCGCAAATAAATAAATAAAAATCTTTAAAAAAAAATTTAATAAATAAATAAATAAATAAATAAAAAGCAGTACAAATGCTTATATCCCCTGTTAGTCCGATCTGTAGCCAGTAGGAGGGCAAGGCCCACGTTTCTCACTTAGTAGTATTGTTACGGGCCATATGTGTGTCTGTAGGTTATTACTGCCACACGTACTGGCAACACATGCGTCTGCACATTTTGGTTTTCTGTCACTTAACCTAGGTACACAGTACTGTTCAAACTTTTGATAGAGAAGAATATTCTGAGGAATAATGGGAAAATGGAAATGAAAAATTTGGTAAGAACATCCTCAGAAATTATACGGGAGGACTCCATCCCCAATGTCTTACCTCAGTACAGTGGGACTCATCTGTATCATCATAGCCAACGGTTCTCTTCCACTCCACCCAGGAGAGATAGAACTTATCCTGAGCACCTTGAATTTTCTGGTTGGCACTATGCACATTCTTCCTGGCAAATTCAATCTAGAACACATTGGAATCACACAAAGGAGCAAACCAGTCAGACATTCAAGTTAGCCTGTTCTCAGAGCTAGGATATCAGTCAGGCAATATAAAAAACAAGAATTTCCATGAGAGTTTAAGGAGAGACCCCTGCTATCCATGTTGTTACTGTTTTTTGTATATCAGCCAAGTAATCGTGGTTCTTTACTGCCTCTACTTAACTATTAAACCACAGTCTCCAACTTTACCTCCAGTTTAGCACACGTAAGGCAACTCAAATTTAATACGTATATTCACAAAAGATAAAATGACAAAAGGAAACGGAATTAAAACCTCCTTTTCGGGCACCTGGGTGGCTCAGATGGTTAAGCGTCTGCCTTCAGCTCAGGTCATGATCCCAGGGTCCTGGGATCGAGTCCCGCATCGGGCTCCCTGCTCTTGGGAGCCTGCTTCTCTCTCTGCCTCTCTCTCTGTCTCTCTTTCTCTCATGAATAAATAAATAAAATCTTTTTAAAAAATTAAATAAATAAATAAATAAAACCTCCTTTTCTCTGTTGCCAGCTGTCTTTCCCCTCCCAAGAAGAAACCAGTTTCTAATGGCAGTACAATACATACTATTCTGTAACTTGGCAGCCTCAATGGCTACACAATAGCTCTTTTATGATGTACCAATTTAGCCTCCTATTACCTGACAGGCATTGCTTATAGGGTTTTGCAACTCTGAACTTCTTTAAGTGTGGATAAGAAACATTTCCAAAAATAAAACAGTTGAAGGCATAGAAGTGTTTGTAATTTCCCCAGAACCGTCACTGTATCCCACAGAAGTGCACAAGTACATGCATCCCTCGTTCCCTACCTCATTACCCACAGCATCAAGCCATCAAGCTTTGCCAGTGTGAGAGGCCAAGAGAAGCATCTGTAATTGGGCCCCTCACAGTGAGATTAACATTGCTTTCTAGGGTTCAGCTATCTGTACTTGCTCTTCTGTGAGTTGTTTATATACTCTTTACCCATTTCTCTACTGGGTTTTTCATTACGATTAAAATTCTTGGATTTCATGACTACATTTACTCTCAGCCCTTGAGATAAATGAACTCACTTTAGCTACCTTTAAATGAAGTTTTACTCACCAGATTAACAGTGGAATGGAGCTGAGAAATGGTCTCTTGGCTTTTTTGCTTGGCTTCTTTAACCCTGCTGAGAGCCTGCTGGTAGGCACGTGAGCGGAGCTTGGTAGACAGGGATCCCAGTCTAACATAGTAACTTGGCTTCTGAACCATATCAAACCCTTCAACTTTTTTTGCTTCTTTTTCTGAAATTAGAAAAAAAAAGGGACCAAAAAACATAAAGGATCCCAGCTAGAACTGATGAGGCCTGGCCTCTAACCTGGATCTTACCGGGTCCATTCTCCCCACCCACCTAGCAATTATGCTCTCATTTCCCCAAGACAGCTCCTGCCTGCTGCTGAGCTTGACCACCCAACGCATACATGCATACATATCACTGCGTCTGACATTTTTATCTACACAGGTCTCAATCCGTTAGAGTGAGCTTCTTGGGCAACACAGGATTTGGCACACAGTAGGCACTGAATGTCTAACGATTTTCTGTAAAGCAGCCCAATAAAGACAATGTATTTATAGAAAATTTCTCTGGGTTCATTTCTCCCCAAGGTTTCCAAACTTACTATGCAGAATTCAATGTGAAACTTAAGATTGCTTTAGGAGAAAGTCTACAGAGATAGAAAGATTAGTGGTTGCCCGGTAAAGGACAGGGAGACTGACTACGAGCAGGCACGAAGGGTGTTTCGGCATGACAGAAACGTTGCACCACTGATGGCTGGGCACCTCTAACTCAGAATCAAACAGGTGACTTTTATGGCATATGAAGTAGATCTCAACGAAGCTGTTTTAAAAGACTGCTTTAAGATATAAACCATTAGTTCAAGACAAAAATCCAAGTACCTAGTTCTTAAAAAAAAAAAAAGATTTTATTTACTTATCTGAGAGACAGCAAGAGCGAGATCACAGAGGGAGTGGGAGAAGCAGACTCCCTGCCGAGCAGGGAGCCTGGCGTGGGGCTGGATCCCAGGACCCCAAGATCACAACCCGAGCTGAAGGTGGACGCCTAACCGACTAAGTCACCCAGGTGCCCCCAATTACCTAGTTCTTTCTCCGTGAGAGGGAGGTACTGGTCCACCAGCAACTCTGATCTGGTGAGCGCATTTTCTACTCCGTTGCTCACCAGCTGCATCATCCGACTTCCCAAGACTGTGTTAATGCTGCCATTGACCACAGACTTGGTCCTCTCCACACTGCCAGTCACCGCTCCTTTGGTCTTGTCCATCATCCCAGTGATGGTGCTGGCCATGGAATCCTTGGCCCCAGTCACAGCAGTTGTCACAGCATCTTTTGCCCCGGTCACAGCGCCTCTGGCATTGGCAACAACCTACAAATAGAAAAACACACTGCTTGGTTGAGAGCAGTATAGGCTAAGTGTTAACTAAGGCAGCCTCGCTGAAGTGCTAAGGAAGCAATCTGGCCCTGTCCTGCTCTAGCTTTAGGTCTTAGGCGAGTCACTAAGAGTTGATAAGCCTCAATTTCCTTAGCAGCTTATCTGCCCTATCTGCCACCACTCAACGGTTGTTGGAGGAGCAAATGAGGTAAAATGATGTAAAATTTGTTGAAGCATTTTTTTAAACCAGGTGAATGTGTAATAAGGCACAAGGAGTACTGTAGAAAAGAATGGTAGGGAGCATGGGTGGCTCACTTGGTTAAGCGACTGCTTTTGGCTCAGGTCCTGATCCCAGAGTCCTGGGACTGAATCCCACATCGGGCTGCTGGCTCGGCGGGGAGCCTGCTTCTCCCTCTGACCCTATCCCCTCTCGTGCTGTCTCTCTCTCTCTCTCTCTCTCTCTTTCTCTCTCTCTCATAAATAAATAAAATCTTAAAAAAAAAGAAAAGAATGGCATTTTCCATGCTGACAGGCTTATAGTGAGAATAGCTCACGCATGCCGATAAGCAGAGACAGAGGTACCATGCCCACCTGGCCCGATGCACTCAGCCCCACAAGGCCAACACAGGGGCAGAGAGGTTATTCTCCCTCCTACTGGATGTGCTCTCAGATACCAAGTGAGAAAAGATTCTAAACACCACGTCTACATTTCTCTAATGCCACATGGGAATCGGCTATCTGTGACAGCGATATCATCTACAGAGGCAAAACCACAAATAAAGATCAGACCATAAGCATTATAGCCCAAAAGTGGCTAGTTCATCTCTGCGTCTTAAACAAGACCTGACAATAATGCAGCAAGTAAGGGAGTGGCCTTTCAAAAATACGTCCAGGAGGAGAGAATAGTTCCTGTTTATGATATGCACAGCCTGTGCCAAACAGATAGAACATGAAGACATGTGCGGTGGCAAGCCTTAGCACTTTGCCCAAGCTCACCTGGTTTGTTGGCTGATTCAGAATAGGCAGTTTCTCCTCAATCCTGTCTAGCCCCTTACAAGCATAGGTATTGGCAACTGCAACTAGAAGAACCACAAACGGGGAAAATGTTAAGTGCAGATACGACTGAATACATACTACATTAGACCTTGAACCTTTGGCCTTAAAGAATAGCAAGAATGTTGATCTTCATTTACTACACAATGCATTGCCTAGTGTTTCGAGCTCAGCAGCAGGCTGCTGGGAACTGTCTTCTACTGACCGGGAAATAAGGGGGTGGGAGGGAGCAGCGAGGCTGTGACAAGCCAGGTAGGAAGCTGGCTAGGCAGCTTCTTCTTCATCAACTGATATCTAAGGTTAATGCCAAGAGAAGCCAAGCTTCACCTGAACCATCATTCCAGGAGTAAGGTAACCGAAAACTCTCAAAATTAGCATTTCCACTCCAGTTTAATCCCTACCTACATTTAATCCAGTAAGTAGCAGCGTATTTTGGTTTGTCACCAGCAAACAGTATGCTAACAGCACCCTGGATCTGCCCAGCAAGCCCAGTTTTTAGTCTAAGCTTCCCTTCCAATGATGACCGACCCAAGCGCTAATACCAAGTTCATCTGGGAAGGAGCAGAGGTGGAAAACCGGTCTCTGAAAGTTCCTTATAGTCCTGAAAGTCCACGATCTAACCATTTAGAGGAATAATTTAAACCTTTACTCAAAAGCAGTTAATAACATGAAGACATGGGACCCTTCATACGCTGCTGGGAGGAATGTAAAATGGTGCAGCTGCTTTGGAAAACAGTCTGGCAGTGCCTCAAAAGCTTACATGGTTCTTAGAAGACTCAGCAATCCCACTCCTAGGTATATAAAATGCATAATTCAGTGGCATTAAGTTCATTCACAATGATGTGCAATTATCACCCTACTATTTCCTGAACTTTTTCGTCATCTTAAACAGAAACTGGTATGAGGTTCCTTTCCGAGGTGATGAAAAGTTTCTAAAATCGGTTGTAAAGATACTTGCACGACTCTGTGAATATACCAAAAACCACTTAATTGTACATTTTAAGTGGGTGAACTGTATGGTGTGTTAATTACATCTCAAAGATGTTACTTTTTTTTTTTTTAAGACTTTAAGAGAGAATGAGAGAAAGAGAGAGCATGAGAGGGGGAAGGGTCAGAGGGAGAAGCAGACTCCCCTTGCTGAGCAAGGACTCGATCCCGGGACTCCAGGATCATGACCTGAGCCAAAGGCAGTCACTTAAACAAATGAGCCACTCAGGTGTCCCTCAAAGATGTTACTTTTGAAAACAGGTCATGAAGGGCACCTGGGTGGCTCAGTCGTTAAGCGTCTGCCTTCGGCTCAGGTCGTGATCCCGGGGTCCTGGGATGGAGCCCCGCATCAGGCTCCCTGCTCAGCGGGAAGCCTGCTTCTCCCTCTCCCAATCCCCCTGTGTGTGTTCCCTCTCTCGCTGTCTCTGTCAAATAAATAAATAAATCTTAAAAAAAAAAAAAAACCAACAATGGGGGCCACGTGGCGGTTTCTAAGTACAGGCAGCAGGTGCCTCAAGAAGGGCTAAGGATTCCCTGATGTGCCTCTAAGTGCTCAGAGCATAAGGCTAGGGTTCACATATTCCAGACAGTTCCTGGCTCACCCCTGCCCAATCCCTTGGACTGAATCTTGAGGAAGAAATCAGAACTCACTCTGTGGTTCCAGCTTCTGGATGATGGGCAGAGCACTCGTCACAGCCACGGAAGTGATGGTCTTCACACCCTTCTCTGCCATCTCGCACACAGACTTCAAGCATGGATACTGATCCTTCGTACTGATGTAAGCCGAGGACATGAGGTCGTACGTGGAGCTCACCAATGGTAGGTTGACTACCCGAGTCACCACACTCTGCAACCAAGCAGGGCAAGTGTTAACTCCTTCAAAACAGATGGGGAGGGAAAGGGATCAAGAAACCGTATTTAAAATTCATACCGGTTGTGGATCAACTGCAACAGATGCCATTTTTCTTCTTGGAGAAAGAAATCTGTGGAAGAGAAACTGATTTCAGGACACCAGGATGAGAGTCTCAGATTCACTCCTCACCCAAATAAATGAGAATTTCAAGAAGAGAAAAATTCAAGATGAGGTAGTCTTCTGCACTTCTCCCCACCCTCTAGCTCTGAGCTCTGCCCTGGGCAAATATGTTCTGAGGCCGGCTTTCAGAAATTATGGGTAAAGTTCCAATAGAAAAGAGGGTCTGTGGGGGATAAAAGCAAAGACATCGCATTGTTGAGATGTTGGTCTTGTTTGTCCACCGCCTTTCAAAGAGGAACATCTGTTCACAAAACATTGGAACCAAGTTAAAATCCACATTATAAAATTAAAGAGAGGGGCGCCTGGCTGGCTCAGACAGTAGAGCAGGAAACTCCATCTGGGGGTTGTGAGTTCAAGCCCCATGTTGGGTGTAGAAATTACTTAAAAATAAAAATCTGAAAAAAAAAGAGAGAGAAAGAGAGAGATCTCAAGTAGAAGACATTTTTGACAGGACTATCAAGTGGAAACACTTTGGAGGGATTTATTCCTTCCTTGGGGAAAGGGCTGCAACTCGTCTAGGGGAAACTAAGCAACAGTTCCGAGGAATCGAGAAACATCCCAGGAGGTTTTTCAGTGGAAATTTAGCGCCTCCAACGACCCGTATACACGCACATAAAACTGCCTTTACTGCTAAGCCGCAGACTGGGAAGGAAGAACCTGCACAGCCCGCTGTCCGCCACTTTAGAGCCAGGCAGCTCACCCTCCGGCCGCCGAGGGTCCCAGTGCTACAGGAAATGAGTAAGAGCCCTTCTTAGGACGCAAGTCAGGCGCCAGTAGCCACAGCCTCGCTGTCGCTGGAACCCCATAATTTGCTAGCGCATTTCCTTTTCAGTAATGTACTCGCGGGACAAATGGAAACTGTTACCCCGCACCCAAGCCCAGAAGCTCCACCCGCACTGCAACTGCGGGCAGAAGAGCCTCCAAGGCCGAAAGCAAAGGCGGACAGCACAGGCCCGGGAGACCGCCCCTTCCCAGCCCCGACCCGGAAACCGCCCTGAGGCGGCGAGGCGGGCAGGCTCCGGGACCGCCGTGTTCCAGCCTGGAGCCCCGCGGGCCGCCCCCTGCCCCCCGCGCCAGCGCGCGGCGCACGGAGCGGGGCGCGCACCTACCGACCCACAGCAGCGCAGAGACCACGGTCCGGCGAGATCCGAGCGGCGTTCAAAGTGGGGGCGCGGGCGACCGGCCTATATACCCCGCCCGCCCCGCGCCTCCGCAGCACGTGACCGGCGGCCCGGGCCGCGGACCTGCCCCAGGCCCCGCCCGGGATGGGCGCCCTGCAGGGGAGAGGGGCCGAGGGGCAGGGAGGCCCGTGGCGTAGGTGGCTGGCGCGCAGCCCGGCTCCGGGGTTTTGCCAAAGGCGTCGGCGGAGTCGCGCGCACCAGTAACCGGTAACCTGTTGATTCCCGTCAGTCCTCGGAATAGAACTGTCTTTAAAATGGAAACCCTGGCTCCTAGACTTATTTTTAGCACGTTAATCACTTCTGAAGTTTTGTAAAATTTTAACCCGATGACGGGCCGGTAGAGCTTGTTTTGTTGCCCTTCTGTCTTTAAAGTCAGCCCTTCGAATGTATTTCTAATTTAAAGCTGAGTCGCAGTGTCCAAAAAGGGACTTGGAATACCGCGGTTGGTCCCCCTCTTTTTTTCTGAGCGACACTTAAGCCCCAACCACTCCAGGATGATAGCCTTCTATGCTGATTATGCAGGGTGGCTTTTTTTTTTTTTAATTGTAGGATGTGCTTTTTAAAGGAAGAGAGGTAGGAAGTTGAATCGACAACATTTGAGTTCCAGTTTTTTCGCCTTTAAAATGCAGGGACATGGGGCGCCTGGGTGGCTCAGTCGGTTAAGCGGCTGCCTTCGGCTCAGGTCACTATCCCAGAGTCCTGGGATGGAGCCCCGCATCGGGCCCCTTGCTCAGCCGAGAGCTTGCTTCTCCCCTCTCCCTCTGCCTGCCGCTCCCCCTGCTTGTGCTCTCTATCTTTCTCTGTGTCAAATAAATAAAATCTTTAAAAAATAAATAAAATGCAGGGACCTGCACCAGATGATCTGAGCAAACAAGCTGTGCAACTGCCCTGGGCAGCGTAGGAGTTCCATGGACTTTCCCCGACCAGCCAGGGGCTGCTGCCACCGGCCTTCACCCTCTCGCACTCTCTGACCGGGAACGTAAGCAAGGGACAGTTGGCAGGTGGCGGGGGGAGCATATTTAAAGCTCCAGACTGACCCATTAAAAATGTATCCCTTATACAAGACTGGATTCAGACATCTAGAGGCCCTCAGCGAGAAAATACGGTATGTCTCCCTCTCGCACCATGTGATTCATAAAACACAGTGCTAAACCCTAAGATAAATGTTAGAAAATCCAAAAAGGTACTGACTTGGTTTTTAGGTTTTCCCCCACTATGTTGACATGCTCAATGCTTTAAGCAATCAAATTCTCTCTCTCTTTTTTCTTTTTGATGTTTCAGCTTTCTTAGGGCTGTAAGCAGGTGTTTGATGTGCCAGTTGTTAGTCTAACCCCTGTTCTGATGTAAGATGGCAAGAATGAATTGACTTTTGAGTAATGACTCATTGGGTCTTTTTTTTTTTTAACTTCCCTCGAATCTGACCTCTCATTTTGCAACAGAACGCTCTTGCCCTTTCACCTACAAACGGCTTTTCCTTTTGAGACATTTGTCCTCCTTAAGGAGGAGCAAGCTTCCTTTTGTTTTTCTGTGCCTCTAAGGCACAGGAGAGGGCTCCAGGGACTAATCTTGAGGCCAAGCCCACAGGAGGATAGAGCAGGTAGCACCTACAACCCTCTTTTGTCTTCCAGAGTCAGTGAATGTGGAGCCGGCAGCAAGATTAATGTCCAAGTCTTCAAGGTGATTCTGATAGTCTGTGAAGTTTGAGAATCACTGTTTTATACAAGTGTTTTTTCATACTGTGGTAGGGGATTCGAGCATCAAAGCCTAGGGGTTTTGTTAAACATTCTGCCTCCTACCCCAGACCTACTGAGCCAGGATCTGTAGGGAGTGAGACCCAGGAGCTTGCATTTTTAATACCCCTTTTGAGCCCCTGTACTCCTCACGTGGCACTTTCACATGTTCCTCACATTTCAGCCTCACAAAAGTCTGGAAACCCATCTTACTAATGAAGGAACAGCCTCAGACAAGTTATGGGATTTGCCCATATGGCTGACTAAGCAGCAAGTTATGCAAGACTACATCCTAGAGGTATGACCTAGGTTAATTACCTAATTTCTCTTTGCCTTAGTTCCCTCACCTATAAAGTGGAAATAATAATAGTCCTCCATGCTCTAAATAAAGGGCATATGGGTGTTCACTGTACTCATTTTTCAACTTTTCTGGGGCTTTAAATGTTTCAAGAGACAAGGTAGAGGAAATAATGCAGCAATGAAAGGAAATGATTGGACCTGTAATCATATACAATGTAATGTAAATGAAAGAAACTGCAGACAAATAACACTGTACAAAACAAGCAAACTAAGTTCTGCTGTTAGAAGTAAGGATGGCCATTGCTTTGGGGGCTGAGGAGGACTAGTGACTGGATGCGGCCCACGAAAGCCCTTTGAGTGATGCTAAGTTTTTCTTTCCTTTTTTTTTTTTTTTTTTTTTTTTCGGGGGGAATGGGAAAACCCAAACCAAACACAAACCCGGGGGGGGGGGGGGGGGGAAAAATAGAAAATGGGGGGGGGGGGCAGAGGGAGAGGGAAAGAGAATCCCAAGCAGGCTCTACACTCAGCACGGAGCCCGACACAGGGTTAGATCTTCTGACTCTGAGATCATGACCTAAGCCGAAATCAAGAGTCACTTAACCAGCTGAGCCACCCAGGTGCCCCATTGCTAATTTTTTTCTTGTGCTGGGAGCTAGTGACATGTTTGTGCTCTTTTTGTGAAACTGTATTAAACTTATATGAATTTATATTTTAATATATATATCATATATTAAACCTATATATTTTTTGCATGTATGTTCTACTTGTCTAGGTAAGTTTTGAAAAGTTGAGAAAAGAAAAAAGTATGGTTGTGCTTACTTCAAAAAATGTTTTGCAAGGATTAAATGAATCAATACACTCAACAGAATAATGCCAAATACCTAGAAATGGTAGCTATTGTTTTATAACCACATCCAGAGCTCTTTTGTCCAAGAGAGCCATGCTGGGCATTGGGCTAAAGAGAGCTCAGCTCACAGGGGAAGTAGAAGGGGCTCCAAAGGACCAGCAACAACCCAAGCCCTGCCTCGTCTTCCTGAACGACAAACTATGGGAGACCCTGTTGACAAAGAAACCTATCCCAGAGTTTGTAGCAGCTCAGCCTTCTTTCAGTATATAATTGATACAAAGTAATAGTGAAATAGCAAGGGAAAAAAAATCTGGCAATGAAATTTCCTCTTCCAAAGGCAGAACAACAGGTTCTGGGGCACCTGGGTAGCTCAGTTGTTAAGCATCTGCCTTGGGCTCAGGTCATGATTCCAGGGTCCTGGGATCAAGCCCTTCATCGGGCTCCCTGCTCAGTGGGAAGCCTGTTTCTCCCTCTCCTGCTCCCCCTATGTGTGTTCCCTCTTTAGCTGTGTCTTTCTGTCAAATAAATAAAATAAGATCTTTTTTTTTAAAGATTTTATTTATTTATTTGAGAGAGAATGAGAGAGAGCACGAGAGGGAAGAGGGTCAGAGGGAGAAGCAGACTCCCTGCTCAGCAGGGAGCCTGATGTGGGACTGGATCCCGGGACTCCAGGATCATGACCTGAGCCGAAGGCAGTCGCTTAACCAACTGAGCCACCCAGGCGCCCAAAATAAGATCTTTTAAAAAACAGATTCTCTCCCTGGCTTATTCTCTTCACTCCGGGGTGCTCCAGCTACATCCACCTGCATTGACTCTACCATGCAGCCCACTCTTCCTCCCAGCCCTCCCTCTTTGGACGTACCCTCAGTCTCTCACCCATCTGGCAAACTCTACTCATTCTGTGACACACGGCTCTTCTCTGTGAGGTCCTCCTCAGCCCCAAGGCCACAAACCCGTAAATGGCAGAATCGAGTCTCAAACCACGTAGGTCTGGCTCCAGAATCTATGGTGTGTGCTCTTAGGCAGTGAATACACTTGACCTTCATAGGCCTCAATGCCTATATGAAGGAGTTAGATGGTATCTAGGGTTCCTTCCAGCTATATTGTCTTAATACAAAAAAGGACAATACATTGTTTATGCTGTTACAATGTTCTTTCTATAAACATTTTACAAAACCAGACAGGTGCCTTTTCTTTATTCCCTTATTGTAGGACAGCCCAGCCAAACACAGGAGAAAAATACTATGTTTTTTTCTTTTCATCTGAGCTGGAAATTAGATAAAACTGCTTTTCTCATGAACCAGAGATAAAAATAATGGGTCACAACTAATGAGTCAGGAGGCTAGATGATTTCTGTTTTGACCAGTTCAAACTCCATGCAAACTGGTCACCAGCAGGAAGAATTTCTTGGATGACCCAATTCGTCTACTTTCCTAATTGTGCCCAAACTTGATCCTCTGCCATTCTTCTTTTATTCCCTTCCAAATACCTTGGAGAGGAAAAGGCAGCTCCTCTTTCACATGGCCTTTGTCTTGACTTAGTTTCCAAACAAACCAACTTCCTTATCCTTCTCAAAGAATTTCTTATATTTTAGCCTGCCAGGGCCCCTTCCCTTCTCTATGTGAAATAGATAACACAAGTAGAAGCATACAAAAGATAGATCTCATCAAATTTCAAATCCATGTCTTGTCTATTTCTTTCTTTTCCCTCCATCTTCTAGCTATAGTTTTGAGATTTCATAAACTGAAACTATCTTGGGCTATCACAACTTCATGTATTTTTTTTCTATTTCAGTGAATGCAATTATTTCTTTAAAGATTTATTTATTTTTTAGAGAGAGAGAGAGCATGAACATAGGCGTGGGAGAGGCAGAGGGAGAGGGGGAGAGAGAATCTCAGGCAGAAATGGTATCATTTCTGATACCTTGGGGCTTGATTCCATGACCCCAAGGTCACAACCTGAGCTGAAACCAAGAGTCAGTTGCTTAACCGAATGAGCCACCCAGGCGCCCCTAAGTGAATGCAAGTATTAAATGAATTCATAATATAGCTTACTTTTTATTATTTATATCCAGTTTATTCCCTATCACACACAAAGGACTTAGATTGCCTCTTGCCTCAGAAAACACATAGATTATAAGAATACCTTTTATTTTTT